TTTTTTTATATATTTATATATGAGTTGCTTGGGGCCTTGCTAAATTGCTGAGGCTGGCTTTGAACTCACGATCCTCCTGCCTCRGCCTCCCAAGTCACTGGGATGAYAGGCRTGTGCCACTGTGCCCTGCTGAATCAGGGTTTTGAACTTGCTTTGAAGAGCCTTTGCCTCCTCTGATGACCAGGGGTCATTCTACACGGCTGGGCTTTCTCGGCCCTTTCTCCGTCAACTCTTTTCTGGTCACCAAGAGGGACAGGAGTCCCAGGCAGCTCTCAGACCCTGCTCATGCCTTCAATCACCGCCCCCCCCCCATCCTCTCCCAGCAGATTCGCCCGTGGCTAGCCACCACTCAGAAGGCCCAAATCCCGGTTTCTAGTAGGGAGTGATTTGGCCCGGCCTCCCTCCCTCTCTGACTCCATCTCCAGCCACGTCTCTCTTTTCCCACGTTCTAGCCACACTGTCCCCTCCTGTCTCGAATCTTTGCTGCTTTCTCTGCCCAGGCCTCTTCCCCCAGGGGGCACTTAACCACTGAGCCCCATCCCMAGCCCTATTTTGTATTTTAGTGAGAGACAGGGTCTCCCTGAGTTGCTGAGTGCCTCACTAAGTTGCCGAGGCTGGCTTTGAACTCATGATCCTCCTGCCTCAGCCTCCCAAGTCACTGGGATGACAGGCGTGAGCCACCACGTCCGGCTTCTTCCCCCGTTTCTTGACAAGGCCAGTTCTTTCTTGTCATCATTTCACATTGAGCTGACAACATCATAAAGGTCCCTTTCTGAGACACTTTCTCTAATCGCTTTGTGGGAAAGACCGTGTCCCCTACCCCTGCTCCGGCTCTGCCGTCTCCCTGTCCAGTTTTGTTGATCCACATGCAAAACCCGCTCATGATTTATTTGCTTATTAACCAGTTGTCTACCCTGCTAGAGCGTCAGCTGGATGGGGTAGGGAATTGTCTTCTCGATGGCTGTGTGTCCCCCGGTGTCTACATTGGCCCCACGCACCTACTRGGTGCTCTCAGGACGTTTCCGTCTTGGGAACGACCCGATGACTGGCTGTTCGGATCCCAGGAAGCAGCCAGCCAAGCCCCGTCTGGGTCTCTGTGATTGCAGACCGAGTCCTTCAAGCTGAGCGAGCCCTACAGCCAGTGCACAGAGGACGGGGGTGACGTGCCGGTCAGAAACATCTACAACGCGGCCTACTCCCTCCAGGTAGGGCTTGGCGGGGGCGCCCAGCCCTGGATTGTGGCCTGGACCCAAGGGACAAAGTTAAATCGAGGTTGGGGTGTGTCTGGGACCAGGAACTATGTACGASGAGGACACCTGGGGTTGGTCCAAAGACCTCAAGAACAAATGATGCCGGCTGGTTCCAGTCCTCTTCGGTGCGTCCGTAACTGGAGCTTAATTGATTCACTGAGGTTTGGGAGGAACACGGTGTTCAGGCCAGTCGGGCCCGCTTCCCAGAGGGGCCGTGGCAAGTGAGGGACAGGAGGAGAAGTGTTTGGGGGTCACAATGGCTGAGGAGTCAACAGCTGGGCTTCCGGGCCCACTTGTGTCTCTCACTCACCGMAGGAGGTGGGGTCCTACTGAGGGGCCTGATGGGCAGCTCCCAAGCCCTCCAAGCTGTGCACTTGACCTTGGAAATGAGGCCATCGGGCAGCATCGAGCCCATATTCCTGCAGCATAGAAAGCGGGGGAGCTTTGTTAAAGGAGCCGGGCATTCTCGGGGCTCAGCAGCTCTCACCCCATCTAGTGTATTAGGAACGTCACTGACCTCTGCAGGCATTAGGGTTGCCAACTCTTGAGTGTGACAGCAATGACACGTGTGGCCTCATCTCCCATCCAGGGAGTCTGCAATCGGCCTCTTACTGGGATACTTAGAAGGTCCGTGGAAATSATCCTGGGAGAATTAGAGGACCGGTCCCCCTCCACACAGCTTCCGTCAGGACGGAGATGAGAGGTGGTGGAGACACTGGGTCAAAGAGGGACCGGTCAGCCGGGCGCGGTGGCACACACACACACACCTGTCATCCCAGTGGCTTGGGAGGCTGAGGCAGGAGGATTGCAAGTTCAAAGCCAGCCTCGGCAACTTAAGGGAGACCCCAAGCAACTTAGTGAGACTCTGTCTTAAAATATTAAAACTGGGCTGGGGACATAGCTCAAGTGTTTAAGCACCCCTGGGCTCAATCCCTGGCACCTGCTAAAGAAACAGAAACACAATCCAATGGACTTTAAGGCCAAATAGCAGCAGCAACAACAACAAAAAAAAAAAATGGTGAGCTCATTGGAAAGATGTTCCTGGATAAGATTTAATGACAAGCAACTGTGTACCAACACTTTATCTGATTGATTCATTTCATTTTAATCTCATGGGGTAGGTATTATTGTATACCTGAAAGCAAAGTATCAGAGAGAGGTCAAGTGACTTGCCTAAGGACACACAGCAGGTAGGTAGCAAAACTAGGATCCGAACTCAAATAAGAGCCTGGCTTCGGAGCCCCTGCTGTCAGCCTTTATATCACACACTTCCTGGATTTGTGGTAACTTGTGTTCCCCAAAGATCCAGCGTGGAAAGGGGTTGGACCTGGGATGGGACATGCTGGGACTGYGTTTGTTTTCTCTCTGTTCCTTGGCAACGGCTCCAGTTCCCACATTTACCTGGGTCGGTACCATGTGGTTGAGCCCTAGCGCAACCTGGTTTCCGTGTCTCATTCCAAATTCCCAGTCAATGTCCCAGGCTCAGTCCCTGTGGACTCAGGGATCCACCCCTGGCCCAGTTGGCCCAAGAGGGTACATTCGCACAGTCAGTCCCGGGTGCGGGAGGCTGGTCCTCCAGGATGAGCAATGAGGTGAGGAGGGAGCTCCCTGGCGTCCACCATGCAGGGAGTTTCAGGGGTCTCTGGGTCTCCTCTTTCAGATCTGCCTTTACTCCTGCTTCCAGACAAAGATGGTGGAGAAATGTGGGTGTGCCCAGTACAGCAAGCCCCTGCCTCCAGCTGCCAGCTACTGCAACTACCAGCAGCACCCTAACTGGAGTGAGTGCGACCCACCCCAGTCTCGCACACCCCAGCCCTGCACCCACCTGCCCCGAGACGCTCCCTACCCCGCTGCCTTGTGCCCGGGGGAGGTCACCGACGTCTAAACTGAAGTTTTAGCTCTTGTTGTCAAGCTTGACTTACGTTATGCTTCCCAATTAAGGACCAAATGAAATAATTAAACAATCAACGTGAGACTGTGGGAACTCCACGGGCAACTCAAAGACCCCAGGAAGGGGCCCTGTGGCCCCCAACGTTCATAKGCCGTTTTCTACCCTGTCCCTTAGTGTACTGTTACTACCAGCTGTACCAGGCCTTTGTCCAAGAAGAGCTGGGCTGCCAGTCGGTGTGTCGAGAAACCTGCAGGTGCGTGGACCTACCTGGAGGGATGGGGTGGGCAAGTGGACCGGGCCACCCACGCCCACTCTGTCCCTTCCTCCCCTAAGCTTTAAGGAATGGACCCTGACCACCAGCCTGGCACAGTGGCCATCTGAGGTTTCAGAGGTAAATCCCACTGCCTGCTCTTCCCTCGGAGCTCCCAGCCTGGAGCCTCCCTGCTGTCCACTGCTGTCCCACTGCTGTGGTCTGGGACCGGGGGAGGGGGTGTTGGGGGGTGACTTGGGGGAGGAGCTGTCTCGCTGAGTCCAGGGAAWGGGGGATTTCTGAGAAGGGAAGGGGCAAGCTAAGCATCCCCAAGAGCTACTCTCTTTCTTTCTCCAACACAGAAATGGTTGCTGCCTGTCCTCAACTGGGACCAAAGCCAACAAATAAACAAAAAGTTCAACAAGTAAGTTGACCTCCACCCGGTTTCCTCTGCCTCCGTCGGCCGAGGGCACAGGCTTCTTGGCTGCCTTCCTCCTGGCCAAGCCCTCTGCCTTTCATTCACTCAATCACTTATTCAACAAATATTTGTTAAGCTCATATCACGAACCAGGCCCTGCTCAAACTGTTGTTGGACCGTGATCCTGGGTATGAAAGACTTTTTTTTTTTTTTTTGCATTGTGGCTCATTGAACATATCGCTGAAATAAATACAGCTTCCTTATGCTCTAGGAAGCCCTGGGGCTGGTTTTCAGATGATACACGGTGGTGTGTGGCCGAACCGATGATTACAGTCCTCTTTCTGTACCCTCCGGGGATTGGCTCCAGGACCCCCACTGCCTCCGTAGATCCCCAAATCCTGGGATGCTCAAGTGCTTTATGTAAAATGACCTAGGAGTTGCATATGACCCACCACATTCTCCTGTACACTGAAGTCATCTCTGGACTACTCATCGTGCCTAATCCAYTGTCAATGCTATGTAAATAGTTGTTCTATTGTATTGTTTGGAAAAATAATGGCCAYAGAAAAYTGTCTGTACATTTCAATCCAAATGCAATTTTTTTTTTTCTGAAAATTTCCACCCATGGTGGATGGACTACTCAGATTCAGAACCCACAAATTCAAAGGGAAGGCCAAGAGTATTTCCATCCCAATTGGTCACAGGGTGCTAATCTGATTCTGTAAGTCTTATGTATCTCAGTTGGCAAATATTTTGAATATTCCTTTGAATGCATTCTGATGTTTCCCATTGTCTTTAGTTTGTAAAAGGTATTGGTCACAGCCCTGTACATTTATTTCGTGGCTTACCAATGTATTCCGACCCACTTGGAAAACCATTCCTTGGAAGCTTGTAGCTTCTAATTCTTTTTGAATTTTACACACACACACACACACACACACACACACACACACACACACATCATTTCTGAGGGAGCTTTAGGAAAAATCAGCCAGGCCAGGGTCCAGGGGCCTCAGCAGATGGAGATAAAGAAGGGAGAGAGGCAGCTCACTTCTGTCACTCAGGCCCTGTGATCTCACATGTCCTTGGGTTGTCACTGCCTCCCCGTGCCCAGCTCTGGTCAGCTCCCTTGGCCCCCAACAATCTGGAGACCACGAAGCCACGGTTTCTGCCACTAAGTCTAGTGATAGGCTTTTAAACAAGCATTTCCAAACCATTAACAAAGCATCGTACACCAGTGCCCCCTAGGCCAAGTCTAGCCCTATACAAGTACCCCATTATTTCTAGCTTTTCCTGAAAGATTAAAAAAAAATTCTGGCAACAGTGAATCACCACTCTTGCATAGTACCATGTGGCTAAGTAATAGCGCCTTCTTTTAAAAGAGCAGGGATCTTCCAGTTCAGCAGCCTTATCAAGAGACAACTTCGATCAGTGGCTAAGGGCATGAATTCAAGCCAACAGGTGTCGGGGCCCATGCCTGTAATCCCAGCAACTCCGGAGGCTGAGGCAGGAGGATTGCGAGTTCAAAGCCAGCCTCAGCAATTTAGTGAGGTGCTAAGCAACTCAGTGAGATCCTGTCTCTAAATAAAATATTTTAAAAAGGGCTGGAGATGTGGCTCAGTGGATAAGCACCTCTGGGTTCAATTCCTAGTACAAAACAAAACAAAACATGAACTTGAAGCCAGATCTGTGTGGGTTTGAATACTGGCTTAGACCAGGATTAGCTGTGCAGTCTTKTGCAAGTCAGTGAATCTGTGTCTGAGTTTCCACATCTGTAAAATGGGGGATGGTTAAAACATACCTCCTGCCTCATAGAGATTTGAGTTAATTCACATAAAGTTCTTAACGACAGGGCCTGGCAACATAGTACCTCGTTCATTTACATTACTTGCTCGTCTCCTCTATGCATTTGAGATTGCAATTAAACAATTACCAATGTCAAAGCTGAATGGAGAAGAGGGTGCCATGGGAGTGTGGCTGGAGGGACCAACTTAATCTGGAGATTGGGAAATAGCTTTTGAGTGAATGAATGGTCTGGGAGCGGATCCATGCTGCAGATACACGCTGGGGTATACCAGAAGGCCCCACGGACCAGGTTCTGACATCCCCAGGGGGCCCAGAGCCTGGGCCAAGCTGAGGGCCAGGGCCAGAGGGGCTGGGCATCTGGGAGAATGCCAAGGCTGCCAACCCACCTGCGTGTGCCCTACCTGTTGGAATTTCTGCAGGACGGATTTGGCCAAACTCCTGATATTCTACAAAGACCTGAACCAGAGATCCATCATGGAGAGCCCGGCCAACAGTGTGAGTGGTGTCCTTCTGGGACCTGTCCTGGGTCTACAAAGGTGCCCATCTTCCTGGCCTTGGGGAGCAGAGTCAGTTTATGGGGATCCCACCTGAACGACTGAGGCCCCGAGAASCCACCAGGGCCCCAAGGCAGGAACAAACCAGCAGAGGGAGAAGGGACAGGAGGCCTCTCTGATCTTCCCCCAAGCTTGTTCAGAGCCCTTGGGACATGACCTTGAGAAGCAAGGCTGTACAGCTACCTCCTGAAGCCAAAGACCAGGAGGGAGCTCCAGTCCCGGAGCAGAATCCCTGTGGGAGGCCAACTAAGGGTAGGGTCCATCTTGATGGTGGGGCATGCCCTCCCTTGCAGATCGAGATGCTTCTGTCCAACTTTGGTGGCCAGCTGGGCCTGTGGATGAGCTGCTCCGTCGTCTGCGTCATCGAGATCATCGAGGTGTTCTTCATTGACTCCTTCTCCATCATTGCCCGGCGCCAATGGCAGAAAGCCAAGGAATGGTGGGCCCGGAAGCAGGCACCCTCCGGTCCYGAGGCTCCTCCCCCTAGGCAGCAGGGCCAGGACAACCCGGCCCTCGACATAGACGATGACCTGCCCACTTTCACCTCTGCCTTACGCCTGCCTCCAGCCCCGGGGGCCCAGGTGCCTGGCACACCACCCCCCAGATACAATACCCTGCGCTGGGAGAGGGCCTTCTCCAACCAGCTCTCAGACACCGAGGTGCCTGAGGAGCCCTGAGGTGGGGATGGGAAGAAAGAGCTAGTCGTGGTGTGAGGACTTAGTCCCTGTCCCCCAGACACAGAGGGGGCCCTCCTGCTCCCCCGCTCYGGGCTTTTGAGACACTGACTGAAAGCCTTTGGGAATAAGAGAGGGCTGGGGCAGGTGCCAGAGGACCTGCTGGACCCTGCCCAGTAACACKACCAGCCAGGATGGGCTAGATCCCACGGCCCGGACCAAGAGACAGGGCTGAGGATACCGTGCTGGCCCAGGTGAAGGCCAGAAGGGGGCTCTTCACCGGGTCTTGAGAGAGAAGGACACCTTTAAGCCCCATCCCAGGGTTTCATCTGCTCCCCTGTCCTGGGCTGGGGCCTGAGGATCTAACCTTAGGTAGCAAGGCTGGACGGCTCCCGACCAATGACCAGAGACAGGAGGAAGCACCAGTCCTGGAGTCGGGCTGTTGGCAAATACAWGATCCTCGGTCACCAACACTGGGGCAAGGTGTCCTCCGGGCCCCAGGACAGAGAGCTGGCCCCCGCCCTGGGAGTGTGTGTAGGGAGGGGTGCAGTGGAGGGTGTGGTAGGATGATCGACTCTGGGGTTGGGGCTGGGGCCTTGCTCTGGGCAGCTAAGGCAGGTCCCAGGGCCCTTCCCAGACAGAGAAGGGCTAGTTAAAGGGCAGAGCTGGCCACTGCTGTCCTGTGGTGTCCTGACCCTTCTTCAGCTGTTCTTGGACTGACTCAGCACCACCCTGGGCCAGAATGACCAAGGCCACCTCCCATGTCTTGYCAGCCACTGGACAGCTTGTATTCCCACCCTCCAGCTGCAGAGTCGGCCCGAGAACAGGAGGCCGGGCACTGTTCTCAGCCCTTCTATAAATTAWCCAAGAGGACAGCAAACTCCACCCCGAAGGCCAAATCCTGGTTTGGCTCATGAACCGAGAATGCGTGGCTCTTGTTTTTACTTTTCAAASAGCTGGGAAAAAAAATAGATCCAAAGAAGAAGATTGGGTTTCTCGTGACAGTGATCTGAGATTCGAATCTCAGTGTCCATAAATAAAGTTTTATTGGCACACAGCCACACCTGTTCGCTTACACGTTGCTTACGGCCGGCGTGCAGAGCTCAGGGGTTACATCACGAACCCGCAAAGCCAGCCGAGTCTACAGCATTCCTTCAGGCAGAAGGGGCTCCTTCATCCATGAATGGAGGACTGGTTTCAGGACTGATCAGCACCCAGGGATGGCTGCTAGTACATCCTGAGTCTTTGTGGAAGAGCCGCTGTGAGGCCCCGGGGACTCCTGGTCCAGCCGCCCCCAGGCCTGTGGCTGCCATAGCCACCTCTGCTCCATGTGGTGTTCCCCTGGCCCTCAGGGAGGTAACCTTGGCCAGGAACCCAGCCAGCCAGGGTGCACTAGATCCCGTGGTCCGGAGTCAAGCCAGTCAGCAGACAGGAGGTCATGGTGACCCTGGGCTGGAGAGCACTCCCTTGAGGAGGGGGCTCAGAAGCCAGGGCTGATGCAGGTCAGCACCAGATGACAGAGGGCTCCCGGCCAGCCGGCTGGCTCCTGTCCAGGCTGGGCAGGAGTGGCTGCAGCCGGTGCTGACAGGGAACTTGCAGTGGATGCTCACCTGGGTGCTACCCAGAGAGGAGCTTCCTCCTCCACCCCCACCCCCACCCCGGGCCAGCAGAGGGGTGAGCTGTGCCCTCAGATTCGTGGAATTGACCAGCCTGGGCATGATGTCACCCRTGGGAACGCTTCCAGCCAGGCTGGGTTTGCTGCTGGGCGTGTCCAAGGTAGGGCTGTCAGCATCTGGTTCGGCTGTCCCTTAGCACAGGGGCGGGGACACCCCCTGGCTCCAGCTGGCTGCGTTCCTGCCCTTTCTCCTCCCCTCGCCTGTCCAGGCCAGAGGCAGATGTTATCACTCTGCAGAGTCACTTGTCACCCTCCAAAGGTGGTGAATTTAGAATTTTCACCCCCGATACACTATTTGTGTCCACTTGGCGGTCTTCCTCAGAGACTACGTGCTCCGAGAGGACAGGAGTGGGGTTTTATCTCTTTGCCTCCAGACTGGGACAGAACTGTTGGCATCCAGGAAAAGTTTGTAGAGCTAATAAAAACAATAAAAGGGCAGATTTATTGGGTTCTTATTGTTTGCTGAGGATTCTACTGTATCACTCCACACACATCAGCTCAGGTAACTCGACAGCTTGGGGTTTGGTTTGGTTTTGTTTTGGGTTTTTTTTTTTTTTTTTGGTACCAGGGATGGAACCCAGGGGCACCCAAACACTGAGCCCCATCCCCAGCCCTATTTTGGATTTTATTTAGAGACAGGGTCTCCCTGAGTGGCTTAGTGTCTCAATTTTGCTGAGGCTGGCTTTGAACTCACGGTCCTCCTGCCTCAGCCTCCAGAGCCCCTGGGATTACTGGCGTGTGCCACTGCACCCAGCCGACAGCTTGGTGTTCTTGCAAATAAAGAAACGGAGGCAGAGAGAATCCACATAGCCACACCCCTAGCGACTAGTGGGTCCAGAGCCTGTGCACCTAGCCACTGTGCAAACTGTCTTCTGTAGGGGGGCTTTCCCCCAGAGGCCACTCTATCTGTCTTCCAGGAAGTCTTCTCTGGTCCTTTCTGACTTCAGGCTCATCTTCCTCCGCCCACCGGCATTCTTTCCCAGGACAGAGTTGAGGGTGGAAAAGAAGAACTTTTTTTCAAGAACTCTACTGACTGAGCCATAGCCCCAGCCCTCGAGACCTCTTTTCAGCAGCTGCCGTGATAACTCCATTCGTAGATCATGGGGAAGTTTGTTCTTTATACAGCCCTGGTTTTCTCAAACAATCCGACCTAATGGCCTCAGACTTTCCCCCCCTTTCAGGCCCCTGTAGACCATCTCCCTGGGGAGTCAGAGGCATTTCCAACTCAACCTGCTCCCTGGGAACTGCCCCCCCCCGGGGGGGAATACTGGATAAAGACGCCAACCTCTCTCCTGGGGTTGAAAACTCGGGAGAGAGGTCGGGGCATGAAGGTAGTGCAAGTCAAGGTGCGGATTCCGGGACCACCGTCCCCAGGTCAAAAGAGGAGAGTTGAGAATGGAGACCGCGGGACCCCAGTGTTTAAGAAGCAGCTGAAGCACGAGAAAGCACCTAAATGAAAGACCAAGCAACATGAGGCTGCCCCCTGCTCAGGACTCTCCCAGCCTCTTAGCCTCCCAGCCTCCTTCCTCCCACCCCATCTTCAGGCCACATCAGGAGCACGTTGCCAAAGGACAGACTGGACCGCCACACTTCTTGCTTGATGTCTTCCCTGTAAAGCGCTCGCCATATTCCTTAAGTTGCATGGACTCACCCTCCGACGATCCTCCTAGGTCACACACCAGCTTGACTGCCATGCCACACTCTGGCCTCTTCCCCCTCCACTCATTCTCCGCTCACTCACTTATCCTTCAAGACCAGGTACAAATGTCCCTATCTCTGTATATAGTGTTCCCTTGGCTGGGGGGATATCTCCATGCTAAAGCTCTTGCCTAGCATGCACCAAGACTTGGATTTGATCCTCAGCATTAAGGGGGAAAAAAAATAAAAATAAAAACCTTACTACAGGGCTGGGGTTGTGGCTCAGCGGTAGAATGCTCGCCTAGCATGTGTGACGCCCTGGGTTCCATCCTCAGCACCGCATAAAAATAAATAAAGATATGTGTCCAACTAAAAAATAAATATTTTTTTTAAAAAAAGCCTTACTCTAGGTTTCCCTTTCCCAGCAAGTCGGAGTACTACAAATCACTGACAGAATAAGCAAACCTTTCTGTTTTCCACCGTGCAAAAACGGAGGCCCAGTCCAGGATTACAGGCGTGGGCCGCTGCATCCAGCTAAAAAGTTGGGCCTGGTGGTGCATATCTACTGTCCCAGCCAACCAGGAGGATGAGGCAGGAGGATTCCTTAAGTGCAGAATGTCAAGACCAGCCTGGGCGACATAGGGAGGTTCCATTTCCAAAAGAAAAGCATTCCAAAACAGTATTTAAATGGGAAGAGTGAGTCGATTTAAAGAAAAGCAATAGGTGAAACTATAAAGAAAAACAAGATACACCGATCGTAGAAGTTAGGATCGTGGGAGCTACTGGGATGGTCAGGGGAAAGAGGTGGCCAGGGGCACCCCGGACATTTGGAAGACTGAGTGGCAAAGGGCTGTTTCTCATGAGCGATGGCACAGACACCGGTGTGTGAGTCCCTATTTTTCAAGACCACACATGTCTTTTGTGCATCATTTTTTAAAAAAATCCCCGGAAAAGAAATAAAATGATTGAATGGATAAAGAAAATGTGGTGCATATCTACACAATGGAATATCACTCAGCATTAAAAGAGAATAAAATCATGGCATGTGCAGGTAAATGAACAGAGTTGGAGAAGATAACGCTAAGTGAAGTCAGCCAATCCCAGAAAACCAAATGCCAAATGTTTTCTCTGATATCAGGAGGCTGATTCATAGTGGGGATGGGGGCGGAGCATGGGAGGAATAGACCAACTCTAGATAGGGCAGAGAGGAGGGAGGAGAAGGGCGTTAGGAAAGACGTTGGAACGAGATGGACATCATTACCCTCAGTACATGCATGAAGAGGCCAATGGTGTGACTCTTCTTTGTGTACAACCAGAGGCATGAAAAATTGTGCTCTAGATGTGTACTATGAATGGAATTGCATTCAGCTGTCACACATAACAAATTAGAATTAAAAAATAAAGTGATGGCGAGATAAGATCATGTGGACCCTCAAAGCAACCTGACATACCACAGTGAACTGACCCTCAAGGAGACGCCCTCGAGGTGCATCTCTCTGTCTCTCTGGCTCTGTCCTCTCCCTCTTCCCCTGAAGCAGCCACATGAAGGGGCAGGCTCTGCATCCCCCCGGGGTGGGTGCCCAGGGAACCCCTTCCTGCCTGGCCCAGCTCTGCCTCGCTTAGTCACCTCCTAGCAAACTCAGGAGCCGTTCCAGCTCCATCTGTCCCAAGGCAGGACCAGCCCAGGGTG